TTGATTGAGTTTGGTTGTTTGGATGTCTTTATTACATTTGGAACAGGTCGGGAGTTCGTTTTTCAATAGAACTGTTGCCCAAATTTTGGTCAGTTAGCTCGAGCGGTCCTTTGGTCGCTCGAGCGGTTTTTGAGAACTTCTAGTATATATGCAGGTTTGCAAATATACTAGGACGGTGTTTTTTTTGCTCGAGCGGTCCTTCTTACACTTGAGCAGTCTTTGGAAACTCTCGATACTTTTGCAGGCCTGCAAAAGTATCGAGAGTTTCCAAAGACTGCTCAAGTGTAAGAAGGACCGCTCGAGCAAAAAAAACACCGTCCTAGTATATTTGCAAACCTGCATATATACTAGAAGTTCTCAAAAACCGCTCGAGCGACCAAAGGACCGCTCGAGCTAACTGACCAAAATTTGGGCAACAGTTCTATTGAAAAACGAACTCCCGACCTGTTCCAAATGTAATAAAGACATCCAAACAACCAAACTCAATCAAGAATAAGATGAATCAAGATATGAACAACCAAATAAGACAATGAATCTAGGATCCAAAACAATATATGGGTCAGGTCTAAATTAGAATCGTTATAAACAGTATTAACCTTGGCCAAAGCCTTTTTGTCCGACATCATTGTTGTGCCAGACACTACCTTTACACGGACAACTTCCTCCTCTACCCTGATATGTTGGTGCACTCTTTTTGTCAAAGCTTCCATGGTAAGTGGCAAAGTCATGGTCATAAAATCCCTCAATCTGTGCCCAACTAGTAGTCTGCGCTTGTACTATGCAATGGCTAGGTTTGTGGGACATTTGCCAATCTGATTAAATGTCTCTCAATACCTATTATCTTATGACTTCAACGCCTTCTTCTCACCGATGTCAATGGCGAGCAATTGATTGACCTCCACTAGCGTTTTGGTGTTCATTTTGAATCTCGTAATAAACGCCGCTGCAAGTTGCGCCAAGGAGGCAATGCTGCCTTCTGGTAATCTTTAAAACCAAGTCAAGCCCATATCCTCAAGGCTTGACAGAAACAGGATGCACATCAAGGCATCGTTTCTTCTGTGAATAGTCATAACCTGTCGAAAGTTGCTAAGATGCATGTAAGGATCTGACTTCTCATCATAGATCGTAAACTTAGGCTGGTTAAAGCGCACATGCAGAGGCGTGTTCTCTATCGCTGGTATGAATGGCGAACTCTGCAATCTTGCCAACACTCTATTCGATGGCTCATAAGCAAGATGTGACATTAACATTACAACATCGACACTTCCATGTGTCCTAGGAGCCAATCTCTGCAAAGCAGACACCCTATGGGGTCTTGCGCCTGGGCATCTTCTCTTCTTTATACCCTCTTTTCAAGGACAATCTACAAGTCTTCTAATCTAGGCAACTCCTTATATTAAGAAGATGTCTGATGAGTGTGTGAGGGTTGATAGTTGCTCCTCTCATTGTATGATCTTTTAGATCTCATCCTCTCAGACCTAGAGTAACGAGTTTTGGAAGTCCTCAACTGGGAGTCGCCTGTCCTGAGGCTTCTACTCCTAATATGCATGGGCGTAGCGTATCCATCCTAGTCTAAAAAATGATGAGATCGTGTTCGTCCTTCGCAGATTTCCACCCTAGCAAATCCCTTACCCCTCACTTAGCGCTTCAAAGTCTCCATGTCTGTCACCATCCTCCTGATTAACTCATCTTGCTCCCTCACACGATCTTCCAGAATTTGGGTATTAGTCCCTCATCATTGTCCATCTAGGCTTTGGGAGTGGCAAGGGCTCCAACCCTATTTTCTCTTGCGCACTCCTGTAAGGGTTCCATTGTTGAGAGTCCAAATCCGCCATGGGCAGAGCAGGAGGCAAATCTTCACACCTCCAGTTAGCTTCTGGCATTTAGCCACCAATGGTGGAAAGCGACAAATCTTCATTGTGCGCCATTAAAGCTAGTTGACGGAAAACTTGATCAAACGGTTTGTTTTGGGAAAACTTCCCACAGACGGCGCCAATTATATAAGCACGAAATAATCGTCACTTCTATATTCCTGTTGATTAAGCTTACGCTCCTCTAAACATCATCGTAACACCTGAAATCACAAACATGAGCTAGCCGGCAAGTGTGTGTCGGAAACCCCTTCGATGCCTAAGTCAATAAATTGACTAAAAAGGTAAAAACTCAGAGAATTCGGGAATAATGATTACAATAACTAGATTAGGGTTTGGTTTGAGCTTTTATAAGTTTGGCATGGCACAACCATAGTAGGACTAACTCTCATTTGTAAAGTCCTTCTAGGAATCACAATCCTAAAGGATAATGCTTATCCTTTAACACCTTTCTCACTGCAAGTCAGGTGAGATAGCACAACTCTTTGTATGGCTTTTAGCTAAGCAATTGAACTAACTTTGTTGTCCGCCTCTAGACTAGATATGCAACGCGCAGTACCATAAAAACCTTGCATGACGCGCCACCATGCTGACGTTGTGTGACTCCTCTCTTAGTTCGGTCAAACCCTTGACTGCCACTGTGAGGTAGCTCGGTCCCATAACGTTGGCATTCTCCAGACCAATTAAACTTCTTTGGCCGGTTGAATCGCTGTTCAGCCCAAACTAGGCTATCTCTAGAACATAGCTTAGTTTGCCAACACGACCCAAATCTTAAGCCCACTTCCACTTACCTCAGCCCAATTTGGCTACACAAATTACCCTCTCGTATATGCTCTTATTATATAGTGCAAGACCGGCCTAACCCGATGTTTGTCTATCCCTACTAAGTGTTTAAGATTGACCGAATTTTTGATTTTCAATAAGTTTTTTCACAAAATACAATTTGTTTTGATTTTGAAAAATTCAGAAATATTATATTTAAATGTTTTTTACATTATTTTTTGTTTTTGTTCTTGTTAGGTATTTTGTAACTGGTAATCCCATTTGACAAAAACTCTATTTAAATATGATTGCATTCGTTCTATTATATATGTGAGTTTGTGAGAGTTTAGATGCAAATCCAACCCAATTTGTGCCTGAGTAGAGGAGTTTGTATTGAAGGAAAGGTGTGCTTAAGTAGAGGAGTTATTAAGCCTATCAAACCTCTTGGACCACTTAAGAGGTCAAGTATGCGTTCGAGCACTGATTTGGATCATCCATTATCTCAGTCTGATTTCAGAGATATTAAAAGTTGTGTTTTACCACTCAAGCGGTAAGTCTTGCGCTCGAGCAAAGTAATATGTGTTAGCACCGCCTTACTAGTCTTACCGCTTAAGCGGTCATTCTTGAATAGCGTTCATGTCTCTATTTGTTACAGAGGGCCTTAGTTGCTCGCTTTTAAGGTTTAACCTGTCTAGAATTCTCTCTGAAGAGATAAGCCTGATTGTTCTATATTGGAAGGTGTTTCATAGTATGTTTACTTTAATGGATTAAGATTGATCATTTAATCAACAAGTGTGTTATTAAAGATCATCAAGGGATTTCTTTCATTCAAATTTATTCATTGAGAGACATTCATTAGTGGATTTTGGGAAACTTGAGCTTGAAGTTTTGGTGGATTCTGGAGTGGCTCATCATCATGGATTCGACATCGGTATTGTGGATTTAACGTTAGGCTAAACAATTCCGAGGTAAAGATGGGGGTGGAAGAGGCAAGTCGGGTTCAGTTCAATTTGGATGTGAATTCGCTAGGTAGTTGAAGGTTCTCGTGTATAATTCCTTTTTCTTCTTAGTAAATTATTTTATGGTTTTAACTTTTGATTTTTTTATCATAACTGGAGGTGCTCAAATTGTGATTTTTTCCCACATTATATTATTGTGTTGATTTGTCAATATTTGATTTGTAGATGTAATTTAATTCTCGTTTAATTGAATTAGATCTAAGATTATTTGATTGAGATTTGTTATTCATCACTAAAATTGAATCCTAATTGCAAATCATTATCTTGAGGTTTTTAAGATTTTTAGTTCTTAGTTTTAGGACACTTAAGCCATAAGTTAATTTATTAATCTTCTATTTGGGCCAAAAGAACACAATTTGTCTAAAATGACAACTATCTGTTGAAATCAACATATATGTCTATCTCTTGAAATCACCTAATTTGTCTACATATTGAAATTCACCAAGCCTATTTTCTATCTATTGAAATTCACCAAACTGCCTATCGGTTGAAATATGATGTTGAATATCACACATTACTTATTTCACAACCATCAATTGCTGTCGTTGGTTGCTGCCCGCAGCCGTCGGTGATTTTTCCAGTGCCGGTGAAATTTTTCGGTATATCTTTACCACCAAATAACATTTACCTTGGATATAATGTTTTATAACCTATTTAAATTGAAATTTTCACCAATTTTGTCTTAGTTTTATAAGATAAATAACCAAAGTTACACGTTTTGTAATAAATTTAAGATGGAAGACATTATAGAACATTCCTATCATCAATGTGCTTTTACAATAGGATTTGACTTCTCTCAAGTTAATCATCTCAATTTAAGAAAATATTTGGGCTTCATGGTCCTTTTTTGGGACCAATTTCAGTAATTCGAACCATTTCCTTTTTAGGACTTGTTGAATAGAATATTCATGTAAAAAATCAAGATGATCAGACATCGAAAAATATATATTTTAATCAAATTTGTATTGAAAAAAATGAATAGTTATTTTTGAAATTATATGTATCGTCCATTTGTTTAAAAAAAATAAATTTAATTCAAATATATAACTATCTATCACTACAGGATTTTGGAGATTTAACGGCGTTTTATTAAACGTTACTTTTTTTAAAAATTAACGGCGTTTTGTAAACGTCACAATTGTTATTAATTAAAACGGTGCCGTTTTGTGATCAGAAGATGTTTGAAAAGCGCCTCCAAATCCTGTCTCTCCTCAAGCCCTGTCCTGTCTCTCCAAACCTTTATCTTGAAAACCCTATTTTGAGCACCGCCGTCTACATATGAAGTTTGAATCTCTTCCTCACTCTCTCTCTCTCTCTCTCTCTCTCTCTCTCAGAGGATCAAATCAATATGAGGTTCTCTCTCTCGATTCGGTGTTTCTTCTTCAACTCGGTGATTCTTCTTCTTGAGCACAGAGCGATTGCGATTTCGAAGTTCGATTTTGAGCACCGTGATTTGGAACTCTTCTTCAGATCCGTGATCTTCGTCTTCTTCGATCAGAGGTTAGATGTTTCTTCTGTGCTCTGTTTGGAAATCTTCGTCTTCTTAGATGTTTCTTTCTTAGATGTTTCTTCAGCTCCGTAAATCTCTTATTCTGTGCTCTGTTTTCACTTTTTGCTTACATCATTATCTTCTTCGTTTCTAGTTTTACTTATTGTTCTGCTCAAATCACTATTAGGTGATGATCGATGATTCACTTCAGTTTGTCTCTATTTGATTTTTTCTTTCTTTGCTTTTAAGATCTGCATATATACATACAATTTAATTTGTCTATTTATGAATTATATGATGTATAAAATATGTGTGTGATTTCGTTTTGATCAAAGCAATCACTTGATTTTCTTTTTGGTGGTTGTGATTTTTTTTCCCCCCTCTGCATTTTACTTCAATTTCTGAAATCAGGAGAATTATGGTGATTATGATTCACATAATTATGGAGGAGTGAAAGGGACATAGTAATTTTAGAATTTGTTGAACATGCCAATTGTCTAATATAAAATTATTTGAATTAAAACTAATCAAAAGAAAATGAACATAGTAATCAGAGTTTGAATTTAAATTATTTTAATATGATTTATTTTTTTATATTTAATTAAATTTGCATTTAAAAAAAATAAGTCCTCAAGCCTGATTTTGTGAGTTTGGTGATCTGTGAGTATTGTCACTCTCAACCTATTTCTGATTGTGTTTGAGATGTCAGTATATCATATCATTTGTCTTTTTCAGGTATAAAGGCACATACTGCAGTCAGGAGGTGGCTATCAAAGTCTTCAAGCCTGATCTTGTGAATAAAGATATGCTGAGAGAGTTTGCCCAGGAAGTGTTCATTATGAGATCTGTTAGATTAAACCCTTGTAGGTGTGGCAGGCACTATTTATTTTTATTTTTATCTGGCACGAGTTAGTTCATCCTTTTCTAAAATTGATAGTGAAAGGAGTGATCTTTTATGCTTCTAGAGGTTGTGCCGGAATGTAGTAAAATTTTTCCAGTATATCTTCCTGAGGATTGCATAGAGGCAGTCACTTCGTTGGATTCTTCATTGTCTAGGTCAATTTTTTCAATTTTTTTTGGCTTCTTTGTTGCAGGGGTATTCAATTATTTAATCAATTATGTATAAAGTTCATCTGGGTCCAGCTGAAGAGGCTGCTTACTGTTTTTTGGCATGCCTTCAATCTGGACTGAAATGTGGTGATTTTCTAGACAACCTGAGATAGATTTGAAGTTTTGGGTTTGTACGGCTAAAATTGGATTGTTCCTACTTTCATGGAGATTGTTCTGGTTGGAAGAAGCTGACATTAAGAAAATTCTGCCTGTTCTTCTTTTTTTACAACTTATTTTGGTTCTTGCAGGAAAATTCGGCGCACGAATGTTGTACAATTCATAGGCACGTGCACACGAACTCCAAACCTGTGCATTTTGACTGGTACTTCCAGTGAAATTTTTATTTGTATAATGCTATATGCTATTCTTAGGTGATAATATGTATCACCATAAGGTATATTATGTTGATGGAAAGGTCTATTAATCTGAATTGGAATAAATCCAAAATGTGACTATTGTTCCAGTATTATGGTCTATTATAAGTTATAACCTTGTGTGAAATTCTAAGTGATAATTCATCCTTGCTATGAGGAAAATAATCACTTTTTGATGATCCTGTTTTTCTTCTTCTTCTTCTTCTTCTTCTTCTTCTATATCCATTTCTCTTTCTATTTGATCATTTCTTTCTGAAGAAGAGCATAAACCCGGAGCTATGGCAAGCGTGCGCCGGTCCTCTGGTGAACTTGCTGGCCGCTGGGACCCATGTCGTCTACTTCCCTCAAGGCCACAGCGAACAGGTTTGCTGTTATATATATAGACATACATGTACAAAAACAAACACACACACACACACACACACACACATACTACCATATCTTATTCTTGCTATCATGCGCCATATGGTTAATCTTCAAAGCTAGTTTTCCAAGATGTTTAGGGCTTGGGGTTTCATTTATTGTGTGCTGGCGTTGAATTTTGCTTCAACTAGTTTGCTGCCTAAAATGTGGAATTAACAATGCCAAACTATCCAAATCTTCTCAAATCCCAAACTATCCAAATCTTCCCTCAAAGCTACTATGCCTCCTACACAATGTCACGTTGCATGTATAACCGGCTTTAATTAGCTTTCATTTCTTTTATGCAAAAACGGGTCAATAGTAGTAATTTCTTGTCATCAGCTAATTCAATCATGTTTATTTCCTAGGCGGATCTAGAAATGGACGAAGTATATGCTCAGATGACGCTTCAACCTGTTCCCTCTATAAGGACTTGCTGCAATATTAACTGTTGCATTATCCTTGTAGTAAAACTATCCATAAAACAAAGTTGATCGATGAACAAAAAATGAAAAAGAAAGTTTGAAGGTATAGGAAGATTTAGCCCATAATAATGTCCAAGGTAAGAAAGGATTATTACATTTAATTTTAAATTGCCTAATCAAACTGAATCTATCTACACCTTTTGTTACAGTTTGACAAGGATGCATTATTGAGATCAGATCTTTCGATGAAGGCAAATAAACCACAAACAGAGTTTTTTTGCAAAACTTTGACAGCGAGTGATACAAGCACTCATGGAGGTTTCTCTGTACCTCGCCGTGATCAAAGTTTTTTTCACAATGGATTTCTCTTTTACTGGTTTAAAGATAAAATATGAACATTTGATGGGACAACTAAGCAGGCCCTTAGATTTTATTGTCGTATGTTCATTGTTCTAAACCTTATGTAGGTATGTATGTAACATAGTTTGTATACTTCTTTATATTAACTAAGTTTTATTGGTGACACCTATTATTAATTGATCACAAGGAAGTTATTGACCCTACGCTGGTATTTAGCTGATTAGTGTTTCAATGAATTGTCCATTTATGTTCATTAGCTTTCACTATGAAGTTAAAGCACATGCTTGGTGTTTCTAAATGTCACACTAATATGTTGATAATTGATGCAGATTGACTTGTCTTCCCACATTGTTAGGGTTTACTTGACTTTGAAGGTACTACTTTAACATGACTTTGAATGATTTGAAGAATACATGGTCTTTATTTCTATGAATTTATTTCTAGTCGTGTTGGTTATTTTATTCCTCTGCCAGGATTTGATAGAAGGTTAATATGTTGATAATTGATGCAGATTGACTTGTCTTCCCACATTTGATTTTTTTTTTTTTTTCCAATTTCAAGGAAGTTGTGAGTTGTCAGTATTGCAAAGGTAAATTCTTTTTTGGTTTATGCTCTCAGGGATATTTTTTTTTCCTTTGGTTTATGCTCTCAGATTTGGATTACCCTTATCATACTATGGATTTTTTGCATCTAGTATGTTGGGGCACCATACTCTTGTGATATCAGCTATATGAACCATTTCTTGGGCCTGAGGTTTGTTCCTATTTTCTTTTCAATTTTTGCTTCTTTTGAACATCACAATGTATGCTAGTGGAATGATGACTCCAACACATCTCCAAATCTGATAAACATATTTTGGTTTGATTTGAAAGTCATGCTGAAAGTACTATATGGTTTTATTTTTAGAAATGGTTCTTTTTAAAAAAAAAAGAAAAAGACAAACTGTAATTTCATTTATTGGTAGCCTAGTTTAAATGAGAAGTGAAAATACATTCCACATGATTCTCATGACTTTGCTTGTTCATTTACCTTCCGATTGAAAGATCTTGCCATCCTCATGAGTACTTCAGTTATAGTGGGCAGTCCCTCTTCTTGATTATTTATGAGCAAACGAAGATATGCTGACTATATTTACAATTGCGATCTTATAGGGGGCAGTCCCTCTTCACCAGCCCCTTTATATTTCACTAGCCAAACCTGAAATCCAAAGCTTTAGCAGTAATGAGCTAATGATTTCTTGTTCTTTATTGTCCTTTTACACCTTTCTAATGCAATCCTTGTATAATAACTTTTATTTATGTATTTTAAAAAATCTTAGTAAATTTATATATAAACAATCTTAGTAACTTTACGAGGTAATTCACTTTACATTGTCCCTGTAAAGCAATTTTTCCTAACGTCTTTATTTCTTTTCTTTTTTTTTAATAAGATAATTAGTCCCTTCTTACTTACTAATTGTCTGATGGATTCTTAATTATTTCATGTCAGTGGAGCTTGAGGCTATTCCCATGTCTGTCCATTCTCTTTTGTCCTCATTTCTTGTTGTATCCTTAAATGATGCACTTTAAGTTCACTATCTGCATAATCTAGGTGCTGTATGCTAAAAAGAGTTGTTTTGGCCTACTGATTGTTATTTTGTTTTAAAAGTGCTTTCATTATTTCTAATTCGAACTTTATTGTTAATCCGACATAATCTCGTATTCACTACCACAAACTCATAGTGTAGCTTAGGTTTTCTTCTCCATCTACTTTATGTTATACATCTGTGCTAAGAGCTGCTAAGATCTGAGGTCATCCTGTCATTTTGCAGCCTCATAACTAATCCCATTATTGGATGATTTCCAAAATTTGCCTAGTTTATTATTTCAAATATTTTTTTGTTGGAGCACATAATGTTATTGTAGACCTTTTCACTTGTCTCCATGTGAAAAGGTGATGATGGAGGATGAATATCACTGGATACTGGCTTGGTCTCAAATCAATTCTTTTATTCTCCGAGAAATCTCTGATGCTTGAAAATACTGGTGACTTAAATTCGAACAAAGAATTTCCGGCTAGATGTCCTTACAGCTAATTCTTTTCTACCATGGTCAACTAGGTCTTGTGTATTGTATGGATTACTTGGAGAAAAACGTTGACTGGTTGGAGTCCAAATTAAAGCCTCTTCTCAAAGGTTAGTATCCAAGGCCTACATTGGCATTGACTAGTAACTCTTTGTTTTTTGGAAGTGATTATCAACCATCCTAGATTCCTGGTTCTTGTCATGCTTTCATATTTATCAGGTTCAGAATAAATATTGAATCGTTTTATTATCATTTGCATCTTACTAACTTACTATACATTAGACATGACAGCTAATGCAATAAGAGAACTGTGAGAATGTCGTTCCTGTTACTAGTTTTATAACACAAATCATTTTTGAAAAAATTGATTTTAAAGCTACATGTTAAACAAATTATTTTTTAAAAAATCAAACTTTAAAAAAATAAAAATAAACTTTACATACAGAAAATGAGACAAGCAACATAGATACTAGCAGCCATTGTAGCACATATCCACTGGTTGAGTACCATTATACCAAATATATTTTTTCCTCCAACATGAAACACTTACAAAGAAGAGATATTAAAGCTTGAAGATGGTATCTAACCAGTGAGACAGAAATTTCTGATAGATAGTATCTTCAAACTAACAAGATTACCCATACCACTGGAATTTCAATATACAAATCCCACGAATCCTTTACTAGTATTCTTGCAGTGTAATTAATGAAATTCAAGTGGTAGGAACATGTCAATATCAAATAACAGCTTCTTTCGAAATGGTCTTGTTTAACATGCCCACATCAATGTTTTGTCTAAAATTGATCTCATTGAGAGCTATGGAAAACTAGGTACAAATGAGCTTCTATTAAATCATATTTGAAATAGATACGACTCAATTCGTTATCCTTTTCTGTTTAATATACAACGGTTGAAGTGAGGTCACTTGATCAGTGGAATGCAGAACATTAACTATGACATATTTATGAATAATACGCAATGATTTTCCCTTTTATTTTATCAATTTTTTACTAGTTATAAGGTAGTGTTTTTTTGTTTGTTTGTTTGTTTTTCCAGTTTTGTTTTGGCAAGTTTGCAGTTTTGTTTTGTTTTTGTTTGTGTTTTTTTGATTTAGCATTTGGTTCAATATATCTGTTATTCATTATAGTGTGTTTTGTTTTTTCAACGCGGTTGAACTTCGGAATAGTTCTTCAGTTTTTTTTTATTCTTGTTTCAGTTACTTCAATGTGCACTTTCTTTCTCAGTCATTATTGTGTTTCATTGGTGCACTCTAAAATAGTACGTACCAATTTTGTCACTGAAATGTTCACTTTTGGGACTCTAAAACAGTATGTACCATGAAACAGTATGTATCTGTTGTAACATGACTTTTTGTGATGATATGTAACTTTCTGTGTGAGTGATTGGTTGATTGACATAATTAAGGGAAATCACTGAGTTAGTTTTTATCTATTTTTTGAGGTTAATTAGGGACACCAGAGTTCATGGCTTCAGAAGTATATGCTGAGGAATACAATGAATTGGTTGATGGCTTATTTCTAGTTAATGACTAGATATAAGTTATTTTTCTGCCTTTTTCTACTGTTTCAAAGCCTTAGAAATGACTGATTTGTTTAAATTTTTTTTACAAGTACAAAACATTTTTCAACAGATGGTGAGTTGTAATGTAGATCTTATGTTTTATAGTTGTAACACTTTTACTGTTATTGATTTATGCACTTTACCTGATTTGGCTTCCATGTTCTGATGCAGGTATCTAGACCAGTGAAGACTACAGATTCTATGTTATATCAGTTGAGTGCAGTGAATTTAGTAACAAGGACAAGACATTAAATTAAATCATAACTCATGGAGTTTGTCTTGATGTTTTTCTTATTATTTTTTGGCAAATGTTAAAACATGATTTGTGAATATGTTATTTTTTAGTTAATGGTGATTGGATATTAAATTGAATGGGAAAGTGAATTACTGATATATTTGCTAATTGACAGCTTTTCATATAATCGGCTTATCTTTTGACAAATGTTCATTTGAATGGAAATAGGAGTTATTGTTTCATATTAGTGTTACTTTGCAATTTTATTACAAGTATTTTTTTAGTTTAACCACATAAAATTAGCATAATTTCAAAAAAAAAAAAAAAACAATTAAAAAAATAAAGATGTAATGGCATTATTCAAAACCCCACTATATAGGTTTTTAAAATTAAAAAATCTATGACGACGTTTTTGAAACGTCGCTAAAAGTTGTCAAGTTGTTGCATTGCAGTTATGTATCACATTTAGTGGCGTTTTTAAAAAATGCCTCCTATAAAAATTTAGCGACGTTTCTAAAGCGTCACTAAAAATTGTCATGACGTCACTTTGCCTATGTACCACATTTAGCGGCGTTTTTCAAAACGCCGCCTATAACAAATTAACGACGTTTTTAAAACGTCACAATGCTATAGCGACGGCCGCATCCTCGACGTTTGGTGCTAAGCGTCACGAAAAGAATTAGTGGCGTTTTTGGCACTTATCACGGCGTTTTTTAAACGCTGCTAAAAGCTGAATTTCCTGCAGTGTATGTACAATTATCTTATTTTTTGTATGAATATTCTACTTGACGAGTCTTAAAAGATGAACAGTTGGATCACCAAATTGGTCATAAAATGAGCCTACCAAGCTTAAATACTCTTTCAAGTTGAGATGACAATTTGAGAGAAACCAAACCTTTTACAATAATATTTAGGATTTGGCTTCTCTTAAGTTAGTCATCTCAATTTGAAAGAGCGTTTGGGCTTTGTAGGACCATTTTAGAACCCACTTCAATGATCCAACTATTCACCTTATAGGATTCGTTGAGTAGAATATTCATACAAAATATCAAGATAATTGAATGAGTAATGCTAGGCTTCATAAAAGAAATATCATGAAAAGTTTCATAAAAATTCTCCACAATTACATTTTATATACAATAAAATACCACAAACTAATCAAATGATAGAGAATCTTCAAGAAACTTTTCATGATATTTCTTTCATAAAGCCTAACATTATTCTGATTGAATATCAGTAATTATATATTTGAATTACATTTGTATTTCAAAAATAGATGGCTATACTTAAAATTATATTCGTTGTCTGTTTTTTTTAAAAGAAATATGATTCAAACATATATCTACCTATTTTCAATTGTTTTGATTTTTTATATGAATATTCTATTGAACCAGTGCTAAAAATTAAACAATTTGAATAATTGAAATTAGTTCCTAAATGGGCCTACCCCAAATATTCTCCTATGTTGAGATAACAATTTGAGAGAAGTCAAACTCAACATTTAAGAAGGGAGACATTTATATGGAACATCCTCACCATTTATCTTTATTTATAATCGATGTGGAGATTTTGTAAATTCTTAAACTTATCATATTTTACGTATTGTTTACACAAAAAAATATATGAACAAATTCATTTTATAATTTAATTTTCTCTCAACTCCAGCTAAACCAAACTGCTTATACCCTAGTGTTAAAATACGTTCTTCTCACATGGGAAAGAATATTAACAAAGAATCATCAAATAAGCACATGAGAGTAATAAAGTATGGAACTATTTGCTACGATGGTGGGATAAAGTTCATTAGTAGATTGATACATTTGATGAATGAACTTCATCATGCATAGAGAAGTGAGGCGCTAATGGCGTTAAACAAAACAAAATTTGAAAATCACTACATTCGAACATCATGAAAGCCATGTTACCTCCACAAAATAAATCTAATTAATTGCCGTGATTATAGATACACAATATGTACATATTTTTAATCTATTGTTTATTATGATTCTCCCTCCATGTTCTAAACAAGCCAAGCTGTCACCCCAACAGCCCCTTCAATATAATTGAATCACTCACATGAAACTTTAGACATAAAAAAAAGGGCATTTTAGCATCTTTCAATGGCAAGAAAGATCCAACTGCTTGTAATTTTCTTATCCTTCACTTCCTTTTTCTCACCAACCTCATCCATAACCTCCTCCAACGACATTGACTGGTGGTGCAACAGAACTCCCTACCCAAAACCATGCAAGTACTACATTGGTCCAAATCATTTTGCGCTGATAAACAATACAGAGTTTGGAAAAATGATGGTGCAAGTTGCCATGGATCAAACCCTTAATGCATGGAGAGATGCGAAGCAGCTTATACCCAAGTGCCAAGATGAGCGCGAAAATGTCGCATTGGCTGATTGTTTGAGCCTTTACGATCACACTATTCTCCAACTCAACCGAATCCTAAAACCTGACACCAAGTATAATCAATTTGATACACAAACTTGGCTTAGTACTGCCCTCACAAATCTTGATACATGTCGTGCAGGTGCAGTAGAGCTAGGTGTTTTGGACTTCCTCATGCCTATCATGTTGAACAATGCTTCAGAGCTAATTAGTGACAGTTTGGCTATTAACGATGGGTTGCAAGGGCAAAAACATTACAATGAGAGGTTTCCGAGTTGGGTGTCTAGCCATGATAGGAAGCTTTTGCAGTCATCATCACCGGTTGGGAAAGCCAATCTCGTGGTGGCTAGAGATGGATCAGGTCATTTTCGCACCATTAGAGAGGCTCTTGTTGCAGCAGCGAATAGGAGTGGAAATAGGAGGTTTGTTATTCATGTGAAAACTGGTGTTTATAGCGAAAATATTGAAATTGGCATGGACTTGGATAACATCATGGTGGTCGGAGATGGGCTTAAAGAAACCATTATCACCGGCAGCCGGAGTGTTGGAAGTGGCACTACTTCTTTTAATTCTGCAACAGTAGGTAAGAGATTATGCTTTCTCTCTATTTTGAAACCCTTATTTTGATTTCTTATTTGTTCAATTACTTTAAATGGGAAACCTATCGAAAAAAAATTTTCATATTTTTTTTATTATAGTAAATTTTTTTAATATTTTAAGATTTTTTTTTTTAGAATGAATGAATGGTTCAAATAATTGAAACGAAACTCGTGGCATTGCAAAAATAAAGAACTCAACGAGTTCTATACATTGAACGATTCAGATCAGATAATTGAAATGGAACTCGTGATAGCCCTACGACCACAACAATATGATCCAATCTACAAAATAAACTGGGAGTAGCCTATTCCAAAAAGAAAATGCTGAATGGTAGAATTTGATTCATCATCCTTATGTCTGCATAGGGTAATTATTCAATAATCCCGGAGCATGAACATGTGGTATTCCATAATATTATGATTGGTGGAGAAGGTAGGCAGATGGGGGATTATGTTAAGTGATTGGGGGAACATGAATGAACATATTAAATGATGATTAGTTAAGGAGTACAGATACGTGGTACTATGGGAATATTGAATATTTTCGCCTACAGAGGAAAACTTTAGGTTGTGTTTGATAGAGTTTTCTAAATATGATTTGAAAATCGAGTTATATTTTGAGTTTGAGTTTTAGAATTATGATTTGAGTATGAAAAATTTGTTCGGTGAATGAGTTTTGAAAAGAGTTTTAAATTGAGTAGGAAATTTTTGATGTAACATATTATATTTGATATAAAAACTTACAACTCATAACCAAACACACAACTCAAAATTTATTCAAAACTCATAAAAAATTTTAAAAATTTTTGAAATTTTTTTATTTCAAATATAAAAAATAACAGGTGCCAATTATAAAAATAAAAAAATACTATTCTAATCAATCGGTCGAATGTCGGGGAGAATGACCGGCTAGCCCAAATTTTAGAATGAATGAAAATGAATATTTGACTTTTAAATATTTGGTGGCTTTTTATTTTTTATTGCTTTTGTGACCTTTTAACTTTTAAATCTTTTTTTTGTTTTTTTGGGTAAAAACTTTTAAGCTATTTTTGTTAGTTACCAAATGACCCCTATTCCCACCCAGTTTCCCGTCACACTGTTTTCTAGTTGTTTTCTTTTCCGGTTACCTAATTAGACTAATTAAGACCATTTTTTGTTCCACCCTTATAATTTACAGGCATTATGGGCAATGGATTTATTGCCCGTGACATCACATTTCGTAACACAGCTGGACCACAAAATTACCAAGCAGTGGCTCTCCGATCAGGCTCCGATCAATCTGTCTTCTACCGCTGTGGTATCCAAGGATACCAAGACACCCTTTTCGTCCTATCACAACGACAATTTTATAAACAATGCAACATATACGGAACAATAGACATCATATTTGGAAACGCAGCAGCTGTATTCCAAAGCTGCACTATATATGTAAGGAGGCCACTGCACGGACAAGACAACGTGATAACAGCACAAGGTCGTGCTGATCCAAACCAAAATACAGGGATTTCGATACATAATTCGCGTGTCATGGCCGCGCCAGACCTAAAACCGGTGCTTAATTCGTTCAAAACGTACTTGGGGAGGCCTTGGCAGCAGTACTCGCGGACTGTGTATCTTAAAACTTTTCTTGATGCATTGGTAGACCCTGCTGGATGGTTGGCATGGGAGTATACAGACTTTGCCCTTGATACTGTATATTATGGAGAATATGGAAATTATGGGCCGGGATCTTTGACTAGTGGCAGAGTGAAGTGGCCGGGTTTTCGGCATATAACTGACCCGAAAGAGGCCTCAATGTTTACTGCCGGAAACTTTATTGCCGGCCGGTTGTGGCTGCCTGCTACCGGTGTCCCATTCACTATGAGCTTGTGATTATGGCTTACATCATACTGCATATTCCTTCAATTTCAATTTCATTTTGTAAACTCATTTTTTTTTTAGTACCTTCTTTTTTTCTCCTTGGATATGATGGAAATGATGGCATTTTTAGAAGAACCAATGAGGGATTTGATATGTACTAAGGAAAATGATAATGACATAGAACTTTTTGTATTTTTTATTTATCAAAGTATAAGAGGTAAAAAGAAAAAAATGTGAAATCAATCAATTTAATCATAATAACAGCCCTCCTAGACAAATTCTCAATAAAATCTCTCTCTCTCTCTTCCATTGATAGGAGATTATGTACAATACTTGGAGAATTATATGGTATAATGATAATCCAACAATTATAAAACTCAACAACTAATCTTATAATAGAGAACAAATAAACAGTTGAAAAAACAAATCAATTTAAGAAAGAGCCTCATAATAGAAAAATGAAAAAAAACCTCTAACGAAGAAGTAATTATTAATTCTTCAATTTAGGATGTAAATATTTACCCCTAATCTCCTAAATTAAAGTATATAAGAATGACCAACTGAACTAGTGGAGCTCAATTAATAGTTAATAAACAAAAATTTGTAAGGATTTTATTAGTTTGTATAATATTAGGTGGCCCAACTCAACAAGTTTATTACTTCTTAGTTCTTACAAATTAAAATGAGGCCCAAATTTTATTGGACCATTCGGGCGTATCATCCAACAAGCACCCGTTCATGGGCCTTGCACGAGCCAATAGCCTGCAACTCGTAGCCCAGTTTGGCAACTCAAAATAATGGGCAGTTACAAGTCAATCCAATAAACTGAATTTATTGATAAAAAAGTTTTACTTTAATTATTTCAAAGTAAATTTTTTTTTGTCAATAATTAAAATGAGGCCCAGTTTGGTATTTTTTGATTTTTTTTTTTTTTTGAGAGAGGAATTGAATTAAAAGCTGAGAAATGACTTTTAACCCACTTCTCAAAATATCCCAATTCCTATAATTATTTTGGATCCAATTATGCAACTGGTACATATATATTTCTTTTTCATTTAAAAAAAAGTATTAAATCTGAGTGAAAGTCAACTACTATTAAGTAATATCTTAGTACAGAGTCTCTTGCCCTAGTTTAACATAATTTGAACCACTCAAACATTTGTATATATATATATATATATATTTTCTCTGAGATATTTCATGATTGATTGAAGAGCAAACTAATTGTTATTCTTGAATGTTTTGCAGTTTGACGTTAGATATTGTTGAACTAGTTGGTTTGCGTGATCTAAAAACTAAGGAACTATGCACATGCATTCTCCACCATTCATGGCTATTTGGACATCTAATACACTCCATACATATAATTATAATTCATAACACAGAATCATATGTACGGAAAACTCAACATATTGCTTAAAATCAATCTATTTTATATGAAACTTAGGCCTCGTTTGGGAACAGGCTAATTTAGTAACTTTTTG